CTTTGGTGTAGAGTAGAACACTTTAGGGGCGCTTGGGTGGCTCAGTCGGTTAAGCGTCTGCCTTCAGCATGATCTCAGGGTCCAGGAATCGAGCCCCGCGTCGGGCACCCTGCTTATCTCAAATAAATAAATAAATAAAATCTTTAAAAAAATTAAAGAAATAAAAAATGAAAAAGAGTAGAACACTTTAGAGGTCTCTGTGTAGGAGAGGCAAGGAAGGGAGGCCCTGCAGTTGTGCACAACATTGTAAGGTGATTTCACCAGGGACCCCAGATTCAGTATTATTAGGTCTTTTAGGTGTCAAATATCTAAGAAAAGGATCTTTCAGTCTCTTGCCTGGAGGACAGAATTGTCACCAATAGCTGCCAACATTCTTTGAGCTAGTTTGGAAAACTGTCTGGGACTGTGAACTTTAAGTATACAAACTTTCACTGTACATAAACCTTTGCTAAATCCCTCTCTCTTCAATATAGGACCCCAGTTCAACAAGATCCATTTTCCTCTCATTAGAGATCCTGCTTTACCTTCTCCACATAATAATCCTATAGTCAGGAGCAAATTACAGTTTTGTGGGATCTGAAACATGCAATTTGGGGGCTTTGAGAGAAAGAATAAAAAATAATTTGACTTTGCAAATTAAAACAAACAAAAAAATGACCATCTGAACACATTTCTTGGGCCCCTCCCAGGCCCATGGCAAGGGCCCATGCAAGTGCTAGGCACTAAAGCTACAGATTACTTAACTTCAGGGTAAATCTAAAATAACCTCCAATTTTCTCTGAGGTAGGGGAGAGGAAACTGCTTAGTAGTGTAGTTAGGGAGGGATTTGGTGGTCTAAGATGCAAACAAAATTTAAATTAAAAAGACCTTTACCACAACTCTTAGAGGCACCTGGTACTATCAATTTCTAAGACTTTTGCAGGGGCAAGGTGGGGGTTGTATTGTAATAAGATCGTTTCTTGGCTTTCCTTATTCTTGTTTTCTGCTTTCTTGGGTTTACCAAATTAGTTTTCATTCATCTATCAGCTTCTCAGTGTCAGAATGTTGATGTGGTTATCTCCTGTACCATTCTTGATGTTCTTGAGTTTTGGTCAATAAAAAAATGATTTTCCTGTCATTTTACTGTTTCCAAAAGGAGCAGAGGTAAAGGTATATGCTTAATCTACAATTCTCAACCCAAAATCAGAATGTGCCAAATCATGCTCCCAAATTGCCCCCTCCCCAAATGGCTGGAAGCATTTTACACTTTTAGCAGCACAGCATGAAAATATCCACTTACCCTTACCCTTGCCAATACTCCATATTCTCAAAATTTCCCAATCTGGTTAAACTTTCTTATTATTTAAATTTGCATTTCCCTGATTACTGCTGAGGTTCAGCATAATTCTGTATGTTTATTGGCCATTGTGTTGCCTCTTCTGTGAATGACCTGTTCATATCATTTACCCATTTTTGTAATAGGTTGTAAAGGGGAAAAGAACATGCCACCCCAAAATATGCCACTTTGGCATATTGACTGCCCTGAAGGCAAGTGAGAGAAAACAGATACAGGAAGGGCTCTTTGACCTTTCCCTTTCTACCTAAAACAGGGCATTCAATTTCCCATGAGGAAGGTGCCCTCCCTGATATCAGGAAGAAGAGAACATTCTTATCACTGGAGACAGGGAGTTGACACCAAGATTAATCTATATCAACAAACCTTCTAGAAAAACCTTTGTCTTTCATTAGTTTCCCTCATGTATTTCCTAGTCATTTTCCTACAGTTTACCAACCCTAGTCCAAACCTTCTTTTCCTGTATCGTCAGTCTCCATAATTTATTGTTCTTTGTTAAAATGGTATGTAAACTCTCAATCCTGTCCACTTCTTTGGGTTTTCATTTCTTATATATAAAAGCCTCACCATACACATAAAAATATTAACATCAAATAAAAGTTGTATGCTTTGCTCCCATTAATTTGTCTTTTTAAAGTTTTTTTAAGTTTAATCCTTGGGTCCAGCCACAGAACCTGAGGGTAGAGGAAAGGTCTTTCCTCCCTTACAGTAGCTGACCTTTTTTTTTTTCACTGATTTGTAGGCATTCTTGTTAAAACAAAAATTGCTGTTATACAATTTGTGAATATTTTCTTCTAATTTATCTTTCTCACTTTCTGACATCTGAGTTCTAGGACATTTTAAATTTTGATATAATCTTGCTTTTTGTTTCTATATAAAGATCTTCCCTATCCTAATGTCTTAAATATGATTTAAATTTTCTTTAATACACATGTAGTTCCATTTTTCAAATTTAGGTCTTTAATCCATTTGGTAATTTATTTTTGTTGTCAAGGGCCTTTTTTCCAACATCAACAATTGGGATACATACTGAATAGTTCATCTTTTACCCACTGATTTAAAATGCCATATTTATTAACTACTAAAAGTTTATATGGGCATTTTCAGTTTCTGGATTCCCTATTCTTTCCCACAGATTTGGTATCTTACTTATTACACATTTTTGAAACTGCACTTCACTAAGAAATATCCTTCTAAGAAATTAAATGGGAATTTGCTAATATTAGAAAAAATACCAACTAAAGATTGAAATAAAATGTTCACTTTAATATTTATCACACAATTGTTTACTTACACTTATCTGAAAATTATAAGAAGACAATTTGTGCATGTCACAATCATTACTATTCATATAAGAACTACACATAATCATTTATTCAACTATATTAGGATAACACACAGGGTTTTTGTTTGTTTTAGACTTCTTAGTTAAAAGGAAACACCAAATAAGGAAAATGAATTTCCAAAGATTAAGATATTAACAATACAAATAAAAATTATTTCTAAATGTCTTACATTTTGACAATATTGAATAGCACTTACATACTCTTAGTTCCAAAAACCATAAATTATAACACGGGTCACTGTCAGGGTGAAAATATATTTTTTTAAAGCTTCTTTTAAAATATGCTATTATTAGGCTTAACATCACTTGATTTATTCTTGGCACATGTGGCATCTGGGAAAGTAAAAATACATTTTGCCAATTTTATGTTATTGTGCAGGTACAAGAGAAAGCACAGTTTGGGAGGCAGACAGACCTGTGTTCAATTACCAGCTTTGTTCAAAGTTATGTTGTATGAGGCTGGTCAATTACTTCTTGGCACTGGGGCCAGGATTAAACTAAATAATGCATATTTTAAAATGCATAGCATGGGCACTAAATGGATGATAGATCCTTTCCCCAATTTAGTCACACTGAAACAAAAGCAAAATATCACGGTCTTATGTTTTTGTACAACTTGAAAAACTGAAAAAAAATTTGGAAATTTAAAAATAAAATTAACATGTTTTGAAAAATTATACTTTTAAGAAATAAAGAAAGCCTTCATCAGGTTTAAATATTTCTCAATAAAACTTAGTGCCTACTATACCCTGATTTTTTTTTTAAGTCCTAAAGTATGGTAAAATGGTCAATGGTTAAGGACTTTTGGTTTTGTTTTTTCTCTTTTTTTATGCTACTGATATAAAAATAATGGCTATATTTAAGGCTCATTAAGTGATTGTAGTTGCCCTGAACCGAATCTATATTCTTGATGTTGTACTATCAATTGAAACAGACCAACTGCCTTGAATGAGAAGATTTGTTTGGTGGCATGTGGCAGTATAGCTTGTCTGTCATTGAGGATGATTCTTATATACACAATCACAAACCCACCTTTCTCATGCTAAATACTTGGTGTTTGGAAGATCTAAGATCCCTGAAAATTAAATTTAAATTGTCCCAAGGAATAGCCTACTGTAGACAGCAATGCTTCCATCCCTGTTCTTGGATCTTTTGTCCCCTATCCTGACCACCTAACAAATCGTCTTTCTGATCTGACTGAAAAAGCCCTCCTTCAGGAATCTTTTCCTAACCAAATTCCATATCCCTCCACTTATGTCCCTGATACTATTGTGTAATTTGTATTAGCTTCAACCTGCATATATTGTTATTCATGTTTTGCCTTCTACTTCCAGCTAAGATGTAGTCTCTTTGACTTTTTAGGCTTCCACAGTGTTTAGCACAATACTGTGCATGTATATATGTATGTGACTGTGTGTATCCATGTGGATGTGTGGGTGTGCATGTGTTGAATAAATAAAAGACTAAAGAACCTGGGTGGGTGGAGGGTGGGAACATTTCACAATTTTTCAGAAATCAAAGTTGCTAAACCTTCTTAATACTAAAAAAAAAAAAAAAATCTGGTCTCCAAAGCTATCTCAGTTTGGTTTTGGATGTCAGTAATAAAAAGGCAGTGAAAAAACTGTTTAAAAAACCTTTATGAAATATTCTAAAAGGCTTTTTAATAAATTATAAAGAGCACCAAACCAAAATGTTTTACTAAATAGTGGGCAAACCTTTCCTATAACTTTATAAATGTAGACTTTTTTTCATTCAAGACAAAGAATACTGAACAGGAATAGGTGTTGTGAATCAGGATAAAAAAAGGCAATTCACTCTAAGTCAATATCTAATGCATATTTTGCAATTAATCTGAAAAGCCTTCTGTGGTATATACGTATGTTATGGTAAGTAAAAGAATGATTCCTATCAGGATTCCTAGATCTCTATAGTTGTTCTGATACTATAAAATATGACACATACTGAAGCTGCTATTTAACAAGAAAAGTTTTGTTTATAATAGCTGTTAATATTAAAATAGGATATAATAAAAAATTATTTTCAATGTGTATATTTTCAAATTTGCCTGACAGTGTCCTTTTGAGAAATCTGACAATTTGTAATTAGATTACAGACATTTGAATTTCACTTTTATGATTGAAAATATTACACGCACATAACAGACAATGCTATTAGTAGCTTTTTACTGAAGCACTCTGCAAGTTATATTTAAAGCTTTGCAATAAACAAAATTCATTGTACTCTTTGTAAGTAAAATTACACAACATATAATGTATGCTATAATTACATTAAGAATAAATAAACGAAGCATAAAAATTCTGTGCCATAACATGGACTGTTTTAGCTGTCATTTTAAATGTTAATTTATATGTTTGTATTGACTACTAATGTATTTTAAACTCAAGAACCTTTACCTTTAAATAATATACTAAAAATATCAAGTTTGGAGTATAAACATAAAACTTTACGCCTCTTTTTCTAGGTCATCTAGGAAATAAAATAAGACAAATGGGAGGCAGGGACAGTTCTTTCTGTTACTGCAAAATGCCTCCTTGCTTTCGCGTATAGTTCTATGTCATTTCTGGATATTACAAGGTGACAAATATTATAAGATGACAGCTTGGCAAATTATAAGCTTATTTTATTGATTTCTTATTTGGAAGAAAGAAAAAATTTAAAGAAAGAACCTCCTTTTTTGGCTTACTCTCAATCTTTTTTTCTCTAATAAAGCACTTCTTGAAATGCTCACTATTAATCACTTTAAACAACACAAAATGAATTGGATTAATTTATAGAACTAATCATAATAGGTTATCAGTATAGATACTAGGGTGAGGTCCTAGAATTTGTTACACGTAAGGCTAAACTCGCAAGAGATCGCATGGCAAAAGTGGAAACTTTGTGACATATCCCAGCTTTTGAAATATAGTTAGAAGCCAATCGAAAAAGCCTTTCAGCACCAAAGGTATTGAAGTGCCCAGGAAGCACCTTCTCTACCAGACCTCTGTCCACTAATTCTATCAGACGTTCACAGGTTCCAACATAGTCACTTATCCTGCTGTATGGGAGCCAGTCAATCAGTGATCCATCATACACGACATCTCCACTGAAGAGAATCTTCCGGTCTTTGTCATGTAAGCAAATACTGCCTCTGGAGTGACCAGGCATGTGCATAACAGTGAGCTGTCTGTCACCAAGGTTGATCACATCCCCTACAAATGGAAACAGAGCTTACAAACATGTTGTATACTTGACTTCAATCATTTAAAGAATAAAAGAACATTAGTTGGTTTTAAAGAGGTCTGGAAGGATGACACTTCTTTCAATTTTATTTCAAAAACACAATACTTCTTAATGATGAATTAAAAATAAGTTGCCTGTATTTCATTTCTATTGTTTGCTTGACCAGTGTTTGTCAAAGTGAGTTATGTGGAACACTATTTCTGTAGGTTGTTGTGATACATAAAAGAAAAGGAAGATTCTGTAGTCAAATAGTATTGGAAACCCTTTCTTCAAAGAAAATGAAGCAGCTTTTTTTCTACAGGGCTTCTGAGAGCTTTTTACTATGCTAATCTACACTGTATATATACACAAGGGAGATATGGTTGTACCATTTCTCAAACTTATTTGACCACAAAACTTTTATTTTTCAGTACATCCATGGTACGATGACACAATTCATGAATGCTGCTCTTTGAGGTATGAGTGCAAAATTGCTGTTTCACTGGATTTAAATCAGTACTAACTTAAGTAAATCATCATAATTTAAAGTCCCATATTGTTATCTTTGGTGAAAACACTAAAGAGAAAAATTAGACATATAGTTAAAAAGTTAATAGGGGAATTAAAACAGTGTAATAATCATAATTTGTTAAACCTAAAAGACAATGAAAGCAGAAAAGAGGGATAAATAAGAAATAGACATAGAAACAAATAACAAAATGGCAGACCTAAATTCAACTATATCAATAATTACATTAAATGTTAATGGGATAAACATTCTAATCAAAGGCAGAGATTGTCAAAATACATTTAAAAAGCAAGGTACAGGGATGCCTGGGTGGCTCAGTTGGTTAAGTGTCTGAATTCAGCTCAGGTCATGATCTCAGGATCCTGGGATCAAACCCTGTGTCAGGCTCCCTACTCAGTGGGGAGTCTGATGCTCCATCTCCTTCCCCTTTTCCTCCTGCAACTTGTGCATGCATGTTCTTTCCCTCAAATAAATAACCTCTTTAAAAATAATAATAATAATAAAAAGCAAGATATATATGCAGTCTATCAGAGAGGAACTATAAGGTCAAAGACAAAAAGAGGTTGAAAAAGTTATACCATATAGAGATTAGCTATATTAATGTTAGACAAAATAAGGACTACTGGTGAAGGGAAAAGAGGTACATTTCATTAGGATATACCTTAAGTCAACACACTAAAAAATTATAAATGTGTTTGTACCTAAAAAAGGGACTAAAAATTCATGAAATAAAAAATGACAGAACTGAAATAAGAATAAACAGTTCAGGGGCGCCCGGTTGGCACAGCTGGTTAAGTGCTGGACTCTTGATATCGGCTCAGGTCATGATCTCAGGGTCGTGGGATTGAGCCACATGACAGGCTCCATCCTCAGCATGGAGTCTGCTTAAGACTCTCTTTCCCTCTCCCTCTGCCCCTCCCCCTATGCTCATTCATGCTTTCTCTCAAACAAATATTTTTTAAAAAAGAATAAACAGTTCAACAATTATGCTTAGAGATTTAAATATTCCTCTCTGAATAATTCATAAAACAAGTAGATAGAAAATCAGTAAGAATACAGAAGATGTGAACAATACTATCAACCAGTTTGACCTAAGTGACATATATAATATGCTTTATCTTAAAACAGCATACATTCTTTTTAATTGCACTTGGAATATCCATCAGGCTATACATAAAGCAAGTCTCAGTAAATGTGAAAGGAATAAAATCATAAAAATATGTTCCTTGACTACAACATAATTAAATTAGAAATCATAACAAAAATAAATATGGGAAATATCCAAATATACACAAAGTAAGCATCACAGTTCTACAGAACTTATGGATCAAAGATGAAATCACAAAGGAGACTAGAAAATCTCTTGAACTGAATGAAAATAAAAATAAAATATACCAAAATATATGGGATGCAGCTCATGCAGTGCTTAGAAAAAAATTTATTGCTTTAAATGCTTATTTATAAAGGGTTAATTGTTTAAAATCAAAGTTTCTAACCAGTTTTGATCTTAAGAAGTTAGGAAAAGGAGCAAATCAAATATAAGTAAGTGTTAAGGAATAAATAATAAAGGCCAGCAGAGGAATAAATAAGAAACAAATATCATTAGAAAAAAATCAAAGAAACCAATAGTTAGTTCATTGAAAAGAGCAACAAAACTGATATACCAATGGCTAGACAAAGAAAAAAGTTAGAGAAAACACAAATTGCAAAAATCAGGAATGAAAGAAGGGGTATCACTACAGACCCTAAGGAAATTAAAAGGAGTATAAGGGAATATTATGAATAACTTTAAGTAAACAAATTTGACAACTTAGTTGAAAAAGACAAATTCTTAGGAAGAGACAAATTACCTAAACTGATTGAAGAAGAAATAGAAAATCTAAATAGACCTATATCAAGCAAAGAAATTGGTTAATAATTTAAATCTCTCCACAAAGAAAAGTTCAGGCTCAAAGACGGCTTCATTGGTCAATTCTGTCAGTCACTCAAGATAGGGAAAGAACCTAGACTTTCAGAATATAGATGAGGAGGGAAAGCTTTCAAATTTAATTGTAGACAAAGACAATGTAAAAAAAGAAAACTACAAACCAATATTCCTAATGATAGTTGTCTCAAAATCATTATCAAAATATTGGCAAATTAAATACAGCAATTTATAAATAGGATAATGACCAAATGAGGTTTATCCCAGAAATGTAAATTCAGAATATATAAAGAATACTTACAACTCAATAATAAGAAAATTAAAATTAAAATTTTTAGAAAGGAGGAGAGATTTTAATAGACCTTTTAACAAGATACTTGAATAGCAAATAAATACCTGAAAATATGCTCAACATCATTAGTTATTAGGGAGATGCAAATAAAACCACAATGAAATACCACTACACACTCATGAGAATGGCTAAAATAAAAAGAGATGGACAAAAACAAGTGTTGACAAAGATGTGGAGAAACTGGAACTCTTACCCATTGCATATAGGAGTGTAAAACGGTATAACTACCTCGGAAAACAGGCACTTTCTTAAAAAATTAACCTCCACTTACCGTAAGATCCAGGGATTCCATTCCTAGGTATCTACCAAGGATAGTCATAAGGGGCCAGACTCCTTTACAAGATAACTGTTCCAGATTTAAAGTGCCTCTGGGTATCACAAACCCCATTTATGTCATTTATGTATGGTTGGCAGGTAAGGTAAAGAAATTATAGTTAGGTTGGTGTAATAATGGAGCTGTCAGAGACTGATGTTTTCATAAGTGTATAGAAAGGAGGGGAGGGAAGTTGAATCAAAAAAAAAATCTGTGGATAATTACTATTGCAGGGAGAGAATCTTATAGATCATTGGTTATATCCAAGTGATATTCAAAATATTTAGCAACAGATAAGTCAAAAGTGCCCACCTATCAAATAGATACCAATGGTAAGCAGTTGATAAGGCCATATGGCTAAATATCATTAGGTCTGCCATTACCCTGTGGCTTTATATGTGCCTTCCATATGCTTATAATGCTCTCATATATAATTTCATCAAAACTTCTCTTACAAGAATCAGAATTGCCTATGAAATGTATCCATATATAAAAATATCATATATATAAATATATAATCACACACACACTTACCCACAATATCCTTACAAGCCCTCACCCTGACCCACTTGTCATCAGATTCCAGCCACACTAAACTTCTCTTGGCTTCTCAAATTTTTAATCAAAGAAATATATATATATTTCAAATAAAATATTCCAAAAGGGCTTAAAATGTAAGAAAAAGTTATTTACCCCATTCTGACTCTATCTCCAATCCTGCTCCCAAGAATCAACCACTTTAAACAATTTTTCTTCTGGTAGCTGCCTCTACTAGATATACCCATCTCTAAATAATTTTTATATTTCATTTCTTGATTTACAAATTAGATATACTGTACTGATTTCATTCATGTATTACCATTTCTTGGTTTTTAAATTTTAGATGATACTGGTCAACTTCCACGATGAAATATAAGAATTTTTAGCTCTCTTTACTCTTCATTCTTCTCCTACTGGCACTACACATGTATATATTTCTCATCCTCTCATCCTCCAAAAGATTAATGATTTAACTACTCCAGTGTGGAGCTCTTTACACCTGGCATAATATCATTGTTGGAGTACCATCTTTGCCATCATCCTGATGCTTCCTTTCAACGTTTTCTTGTATCTCATGTTTCCTGTATTCCATGTCTTCTTCTTGCTTTACTTCCTTATTTTGAAGGGAGTAAATAGGATAAAATTGTATCTTAGTAAGTTTCTAAGTAACAGCATGTGGGAAATAATCTTTTTTTTTTTTTTTTTTTTTTTTTGACAGAGAGAGATACAGCGAAAGAGGGAACACAAGCAGGGGGAGTGGGAGAGGGAGAAGCAGGCTACCCGTGGAGCAGGGAGCCCGATGCAGGGCTCAATCCCAGGACCCTGGGATCATGACCTGAGCCGAAGGCAGACGCCCAACGACTGAGCCACCCAGGCGCCCTGGGAAATAATCTTTTTGGGAACTTCACTGTTAGAGAAATGGATGTAGAATTCTAAATTGGAAATGAATTGTATTCAAATAAGACATAGTTCTTTTCTGGCTCCAAAGCCATTATGATCTGTATAGATGACTTTTTAAAAAAGATTTATTGATTTATTTGAGACGGGGGTAGGGAGGAATGGCAGAGAGAGAAAGGGAGAGAGAATCCACAAGCAGACTCCCCGCTGAGCTCGGAGCCCTACCTAGAGCTGATCCCAGGACCCTGAGATCATGACCTGAGCTGAAACCAAGAGTCAGACGCTTGACTAACAGAGCCACGCAGGTGCCCCTGTATAGATGACTTTTTAATTTAAATTTCTGGAAGCTTGATTCTAATATTCTGAAATTTTACAATAATGTGCCTTTGGTTGGGTGGGTTTTTATTCATGCTAGGAACTCTGTGGGCTCTCTCAGTCTAAAAATTTACATCCCTTAATTATGGGGTATTTTCATGAATTATCTCTATTATGCTTTCTTTTCCTCCACTTTATTCTATCTGTGCTGCTTTTATTCCAATGTTGAATTTTCCAAACTGATTCTATTGGTTCTCTCCTAGTTTTCATTTTGCCTATCTGCTCTTTCTTTTAAGTTTTTCAACTTTATCTTCCAGTTCTACTAAGAAACTTCTACCATTTTAGGGGTGCCTGTGTGGCTCAGTCAGTTAAGCGACTATTTTAGCTCAGGTCATCTTCTAAGGGTCATGGGGTCAAGCCCCATGTTGAACCCCACGTTGACCACCATATGGGGCAGGCATGTGTCTGCTTCTCTCTCTCTTTCCCTCCCCCTCTGCACCTCCCCCTGTTGCACACACGCTCTCTCTCTGAAATAAATAAATCTTAAAAAAAAAAAAACTGCCGTTTTAAATTCCAAGACTCTCTTGGGTGTGCGCGCGCGCGCGTGCGCACACATGCGCATATACTGTTCTGTTGCTTATTTTTAAAGCATCCTATTGTCTCTTGGATATCTTGAATGCAATAGCTTCTGTCATCCCCTGATACTATTAATGATAATCTTCAACCCTCAAATTGCCTTATGTTATTTGTTTTAGTATTTGATCTCATGTTAGATGATTTTCTCAGATTTTTCATAATGCTTGGTTGCCCATTTAAGAATGGGGGGTGAAAAGGCTGCTTGAAGCACATGCATGGGACTAGTGACCAAGGCTTCACTGTGGAGAGATCAAGCTGAAGATTGATTAGGGATCAGCGTCTTAGTCTTTCCTCCAGGGCTGGATGCATTTCCCAGGTAAGATTCTTCCAGTTTGCTACTTGGGGGGTAAAGACCTGGGTCTATCCTTCTTGGAAACTTGTAGGGAACATACACTCTCTCTCTCTCTCTCACACACACACACACACACACACACACACATTCTATTTTCCATACTGAATCCTGAGCTCAAGAGTACTTAGCATCTTTCAATCAAGAAACTCTTCTGCTTTACCCACCCCCAGAGGACACACTAACCAGATGGGCATTCCAGAGTTTCAATAACCTCTTAAACGGCTTTCAACCAATTCTACTTATTTTAGTATTCTTTCCTTTGCCCCCACTAAGGTACCAGCTACTGCTAATTCCTGAGCCTTTTAAGGTTCCTGCAGTGCAGACTGGATTGGCTCTTGATTTCCCATTGCTGCCAGAAGATAAAACTGCTGACTCAGTCATCACATTTACTCTGCAGCATCTGAAATAGTTCAATATGGATTTACAATTAAACAGACAAACCACCGTCCCTTTATAGTAGTCTTAGTCAGGTTTGGGATGGAGTCAAGTTAGATGTGTTTTTCAACCTGCTACCTTTCTGGGTTCTATTTTTTGTTTTTAACCTCCCCAAATGATTTAAGTCTACTTGTCATAACTGTGATTATTTTGGTGACTCTAGGCAAATTGTTTAAACATATATAACAGGGGGCAAAATGCCTGCACTTCCATATCATTTGTGAAAAACAGACAGATGTATGCCCCATCAAGAAGGTACTATATTAACCTAAGGTTTATCTATCTTTTTATAGGAGGATACTATGTCACTATTAGTAGGGGGAGTTGTTTTTCCATCTAAGATGGTACACTGGATGATGATCTCTCCTTTGTCCCTCATTTACAAGTCAGCTTTTGGGTTAGTTATACTGTGCCCAGATTTATGCTTCCTCATGACAAGTGATCATCAGTTCACTAAATGAAATGTAATAAACTAATGACTTCAGTCTCCTTATGCTCTAACTAAAACAACTTCATGCTGTCTGGATATGTGCTGTTCCTGTGTAACTGTGTATGAATTTTTCATATAAATATTTTGTATCTCCTTCCAGGCATCTGGATTATGGTAACAGCAAGTTAGCAGGCCACACCACTCAGAAGAGAAAGGAAATTAATATTCCTGAGAAAAGAAGAAATTAGATACTACTTGAGAGGTGAGGCATTCTGCTCCTACTGAAAAACACCTTTTAATTTAACACCCTATTCTCAGCTTTAAGTGTTTGGTAAATATTAAGCTGTTTTCCCCACACTTTCAAAGGCTTACAGGCACCCTGCAGTTCCAAAATGCTATAATGTTACTACCATCAACTGGGATTTAGGAAACCTGGATTCTAGTCCTAGCTCTTTTCCAAACAGGATATGTGACCTCAGGCATGATATTCAGCCCTGCTGGGACTCTTCACCTATAAAACAGTAATTCTTATCATTCTTTCACCATTGATTTCCTATTGCTGGCACAGAAGCAAAAGTAAATAAATCAGAAGTAATTTATTCATTCAGACAAATTAATACATTTTAAATACTAATGTAAACATTTTTTGGTCTCAGTGCTACAATTAATTTACTCAATACCCATCAACTGCATGGAAATCCTACCTCTAAAAAGTATCAATTTTACCAAGAAATACAAGAAATACTGTAAATGTACTTTTATTGTCAAACAATGACTCCCACCTAACCAGTCTTTTTTTTTTAATTTTTAGATTTAAAATTTTAATGAAAAGACTTTTTCAGTGAGGTGTGAGGTACAGAATCTTGCTTTCTATTTTTTTCTATTTCAAGTGATCAAGATCTCATCTGTATGATAAACTGATTATTGTGAAATATTTCATTATTTGTCATATTGGTCAGTCATAAAGTAGCCTTATTGTGCAACAGGATTTTTCTACCTCTTGGAGTAACGTTTTAATAAATAAAATTGGCAATTAAAATGGTTTCAAGATAAAAATATGAGAAGGGGGTTTCATATCCTACTCAGAATTACCATAATATATTTATGGGGTAGGATTTATGATCTGCATGCTTTGATCTGTTTTGTCATTATCTTGCTTTGTGGTCAGCCACCTCACTTCAAACGTGTTGTGAAGATAAAATGAAATCAACAAAAGTATTCTAAAAAAAAGAAAAGGAAATTAATATACAAATATTGCTATTGTGGCTAATTAGCTCAATTATTTAAGTGCCTGCTGGGGTTGCGAGGGCTGGGGCCCAAGTCTATTTTATTTTATTCCATTAGTTTCTCTCTGATCCCCATCCTGTCTTTTACAGAGGCACAGGCCCAAGGCTGTCCATGCATTAGTCCATGTACTTCACCATCACCAGAAATAACCTCCTTAATTTTTTTCAGGCCTTGCTTTAAACCAGACCGTATATTGTCATAATGTAAGACATTACTCTACTTTTTATGTTCGCCATCAAGCTTTTCTCTAATGAGGCTACATCAAGAACAGAAACCTATCTGGAGATTAGGATGCAAGAGCAGACTGGAACCCCTGCTCTCTAATGGCTTTCTAAACCTACAGGTGGGAACTGCTCATACCCAGCAGTGACCACTGACATAGCGGATGAAGTCAGCCGGCCTCAAAAGCACGGAGCATGTCATGAACTCTCTGTGAGGAGTCATTCCTTAAAAGTCTTTTCGCTAGAAAAGCGTCTGGAAATCAGACAGGTGTTCGGGAAAAGAATGGGGGAATCCCTAGTCACAAGCCTCTGTAGTGTTACTACTGTATCTTACACAGGAAACTGACTAGGGGGTGGGGCCGGCTTTATCCAGTACTTGGCGTTGCCACACGGTGCCAGAACTGGCCTTGGCTCCGACCGAGTGGGCTTCTACTCAGGGAAGGGAAAAACAGTAGTGGTGTTTCTGCAATGTGACAAAACAGGCCAGCTTATAGCCACGCACGTCTGCAACATGCATCCCTCGAACAGTTTTTCCCAATCCCCTCCCTTAATGACAGAGCGCGCGCCCGTGAGGGCCCATTACCATCCTGCAGGATGAGGGTGGGCTGTACCGCCTGCACTCGGAACTGCCTGGCCCTCCAGCCGGGGCTGGGCGCCCGCACCACCTCGCTATCAGACAGCCAGGTCACGGTCTCAAAGTTGTCCCCGCGAGCCAGTGCCTCGGCCTCAGCATGATGCACGGCCACCCGGTCGAACTGGTAGAGGCCTCCAGAGTGGTCGAAGTGCACGTGGGTGGCCACCGCCAGCAGTGGCCGGCACGCCGCGTCCTCTTTGGCCCCGTGATCCTGCAAGAGACCGGAGGAGTACAGGTACTCTGGGAGGCTGCGCAGCCCCAGGCCCGTATCGATCACCACATCTTGCTCGGAACCGCGCACCAGCCATATGTTGGCGCGGTTGCCCGACTCATAGAAGCGTTCCTGAATCCAGAAGATGCCGTCGCCCAGGGACTTGTGGGCGTACCACTCGAGCGCGGACATGCTGGGCAGGGGTGCGGTCGAGCGGAGTGGGTGTAGGCGTGTGTGCCTCCGGCAGGCTGTCCACACGCTAGGCGCTGCGGCGGTGTGGAGCGGTGAGCCCGCAGCCAGGGAGGAGGCGCAGAGCGAGGAGAGGGCGGGGGATCCGGGAGACGCGAGGGCGTGGGGGGAGAACTAGGAGGAAGGACGCGCCGAGACGCGGCCTGAAGAGTCTGGCCGCACCCTCCAGCCAGGTCCGCAAAGAGCAGAGGTTGCTCTGCCCGCACCTAGGCGCTGGAGTAGTCGCGGCTTTCAGTAGCTGCAGCACAAGGGGGCGTTAACGCAGGGGCACCGCAGCATACTGGAGACCCAGAAGGAGACACTTTCTTCACCCCGGGGATCTGACTGCAGAGGCAAGAAGCAAGGCAGAGGAGGTGCCGGGTCCTCCCACCCACTTCGCGCTGCGAAGCGCACTTCCAGCCGGCGCCGAAAGAGTCAGGCCAAGCCGGATGGAGGAGTACGGCGCCTGCCAAGGGCTAAAAAGCTCTTGGCCCAGCGGGCGGGGCCTAGCTAGGGAGTGGGTGGGGCCAACTGGTTGGGATCGGAACAAGGCTCTGAGGCCGCGTGGAGGGCGGAGCGCGGTTCTCCAGAGGTGGAACGCTTATCCGAGCGCCCGCGCCTTCTGTCTGCACCCCTTCCTTGCCGGCCGGCACTTCGGCTGCACAGTTTTACCCAAGCCTCGAGACTTAGTGAGCAGGTAACAGGGAGCAATTGAGGGGCTGGGAGGAGATGGAGAGGGTAGAGAGAAGTTAAAGGGGCACAGGGAGAAGGTGGGGGAAGTCAGGGGTGGCGGTTCACTAAAGCGCTTCTGGATTGAGGGGCGTTGGGAGATAGCTTTACCTTTTCTTCTCCTAAACCCTTCAAAATCTTTGAAAAACCGTCCCTTCCAGATTTTACCTCGTCTCCACTTCCTGGGACTGTTTGCAGTGAGTTAGAAGGGGATTTATGCTCCCTAACTGATGGTAGATTTTCAAATCTGGTGACTATGTGATTGGCTCAGGCACGAGTCATTGCCGCAGACTTGCTGCTTAAGGACCGACTGTATGTTTTCCTAACTCTTGGCACTTTACCCTGTATCGTGGGGGAGAGGATTTTTCGTCCGCTCTTGGAAGAGAGCTAAGAAAGTTGATAGGCTCAACTAAGTAAAGGTGGAAGGCAATCGCACCTTGTGAGAACAAGAAACGTGGATAGTGCCTGGGTGTGGCCCAGCCAGCCACATAAATTACCCCTACTATTAGCACCAGGTCCCTGTTCCCACCTAGCACCTCCCAGCTATTGAAACATCGTTAGGCTTCAAAAATTCCTTGAGAACTTGACTAACCTCCCTACTCAGCCAGGAAAAATTATAAAGATACCCATGAGATAGCATTATAAAAAATAATTATGAAAACCCTTACTGTGGCAGCTACTAATAAGCCTTCATAGAAGAGATGTACTGTCTTCCCCTCCACTCCTAAAGCTTTTGCTGAGGATGCAGCTTTTCTCAGTATTTTCCTAATCTAGTTAGAATCTATCCAGTCACTCTGTTCAGGGCTATCTTTACATGCAAGGTCTTGAGCTAGATGATGTATGAGAATAGAACTGGGTAGAAAAAAAAATTGTGATCTGGGTTCTCAAGAATTTGAGGGAAGATAATATCTATGCACAAATGTTTGCAATGTAAAGCAATATGGGATATATACCACAGGAAGTAAAAACTAGGTGCTGTAAGGATACAAATGGAAAGGATTGTTGAACAATGGTATATGAGAAGGACTTAAAAGACCACTGTTTGTTAGGAGAGCATGGGAAGTACAGAGCTTTCTGTAGTTTGGGTATTTTTCCTTTAGGCAGAGGGAAACTACTATAGGGGAAATGGAGGGATATCCTTACTAGGCAGTGAGCTCAGCAATAATTCACCCAGTGTTTATTGGACTTTTGCTAGGTTCGGATTAGTGGCAGAGCATGAAAATGTGAATAAGTCTTCAAGGAGGCCTTCATTATTACAGATCCTTCTGCTTGCATCACACTTTCCCCTGGATGTCTGTCCTTTCTTAGTTGGCCTTTCCCATTTCCTGTGCTAGACTATGAGCACCGTGAGAGCAGAAGCTTTGTTTTGTTCTCTACTATACTCCCAGTACGGAGAAGTGGTCTGACACAGAGGGTGCCTGATAAATATTTGATGAATGGATAATTGAAGAGCTTACTGGAAAGACAGACAAGAACTGACAATTAGAACATGATTTTTAAAAGGGTAATAAAAGCAGTGTAGTACTTGGGAAACAGAAGGGAGAGACCTACCTCTGTGTTGGGTGGAGAAAAACTATCATTTACACAGTATCTTAAATGTTGCTGGGGCTTGCTCAGGTAGATGTGGGAGGAAGGCACTCCAGGCAGAAGGAATGCTACATGCAAGAGTTGGTGTAGTAGAGTTGAGAGTGGCTAGAGTATGGCATGCAGGGGGCAAGAGGCAGAAAGTTAGACTCAAAGCTTTGTTAGTTAAGGAGAGTGACACATCAAGGTTTATGTTCTAGAAAGAAGACTGGAGAGTGAATTGAAAGGGGGATTCTGGCCATGGGAATTTATTTGTTCTATGCAGGGGTCCAGGTGATTGATGGTAAAGGCCTGAACAAAAGCAGAGGTGAAGGGAGGTCAACATGGAAGAGAGGATACAGCTGACATTCTTCTATTGATGAGGGGATTGATGGAGATGGAGAAGAGATCAGTATGCCTATCGGGTTCTGACTGGGGCAATTTAGGTGTCATTTGTCAGGAAAGATACTGTGACCTGGCTTTCAATGTCTCCCCCCAGCTTCCATGCCTGCTTACATCTGTTTGTACATTTATTCACCTAGCTAATATGTGCAAGGGACAGTGTGAGATGTGGACAACGATACATTTGGGCCACAACGTAACTCATAAAATGTTAGTGCTACGAGGAATTTTAGAGATTAGCTCAGCCTCTGCTGCAAGGTTGTCTTTATAATTGATTAGAATGGGTTTTGCATTTCAACTCTTGGATGCTTGGACTACACCCATCCAAGTATCTCAGAACAGTTTGGAATAGGAATTTTCAGGAGTCATTCCAAAATGGAAGATGATGCTTCTGATTTTACACTTTTAAATTCAGTTTCACCATTACTAATTCACTTCTTTGTAAAGATTAAAGACATCTGTGGGATTAAAGAAGTCTTCAACTAGCCTGGAAGTATGTTTCAGGTAGCATGATGTAGGTGAATGAACAATGGAAAGGTACCTGAGGCTCTAACCCAGTTGTCTTTGTTAGGAATTAACTGCGTGTCTTCAGGCGGTCAGCTAACCTCTCAGGGCTTTGCTTTCCTCTTTTACAAAATGTGAAATTTAATCTGAAGCAGTGGTTCTTAATTTGGGCTACACATTGTAATCTCTAGGAAGGCTTTAAAAAGTCCTAAGGCCTGTCCCATCTCCGGAAATTGTGATTTCGTTGTTCTGGGGGGAAGCCTGAGTTTTGTTTTGTTCTGTTTGTTTTTAAATTCTGATGATTTCGGTGTATATCCAGGTCTCCCAACTTTAAAGTTCTGGAAGTTTAAAAACAACAACAATGTTAATGGTAGCCTGACTGATTTGGGTAGATTTGCTCATGAAATCATATGACAGAAAGAAAGAGAAAGAAAGAAAGAAGGAGCTTAACATTAATTGTGGAACTGTTGCTGTGTAGAGAGCACCATGCTAGACAGTGGGATGTAAAATCTCTACTGTTACTACAGCCGAAGAAATAAACGGGAAACATAAGTGAAACTTCTTCCCTTTGGAAAAGGCCCATTTCCTAAAAAGGGCATTGTCTCTATTTCTTCCAGAATTAAGGAGCAGCAATATGTAACACCTCAATTTTTAAAAATCCGTTTATTTTAACAGGAGGCTCTCCCTAAGAGCAAGGTGGGGTGATATGACTGTTGTGGATTTTGAGGGACTTAAACTGGATCTTCAGGTGAAAGGGGACCCAGTCAGGCAGGGGAAGGAGGGAGTAGATTACAGTGGAGAGAATGGTAAACAAGACATGATGATAGAAGGAGTCAGGAGGATAGGTGCAGCCATCTTAAAAGGGCCCTGAGCACTTGGGTAGGGAGTTTGGATTTAATTCTATAGCCAAGAGGGAAATGAGAAGAGTAGCATAATCGGAACTATGCCTGAGGGTGAATTATGAAGAAGAATAAATTAAATGGGAAGAACAAGGGATACCACAAAACTTGCAGTCAGTCCAAAGTGAGGTAGAAAGGGGCTACATGGGATTATGGTAGAGGAGATGAAAAGGAAGGGATGTTTTGAAGGAAGAATTAGCTGATTGATTTGATAGGAAGGGTGGAACAAAGTGAGTAATCAATACTGATGTCTTTCACATCATCAAATGTCGATGACTGGGAAAATAACATACCATGGATAGAAATAGAGACGTAATACCTGAAAGGCAAGCTAGTTGGTGTAGGGGGAAGATGATCTCAGTATTTTGTTTAAAGTGCTTTCCAAATATTCTTTTGATAGTGAGAACATGGGCTGAAACTCAAGACAAAAGTCAGTGCTGTAGATAATAGTATGGGACAGGTCACCTAACACTGAGTACGGATGTGTTTTCTGAAGACCAGGATCATAAAGAGCAGAAGGCCAAAGACTGGACCTTAAGGAAATTCATACTTAGGAAGTTTAAGAAGAGAAGTAGACAAAAAAAAAAAAAAAAGTCAGTGGGGTAGAAAAGCCTGGAGGGCTTTTTGTTGTTTGTTGTTTTTATTTTGAGGTGTTTTTATTGTTGTTGTTGTTGTTTTTGAGTAGGCTCCACACCCAGCATGGAGCCCATCACTAGGCTTGAACCCTTGACCCTGAGATCAAGAACTGTGCTGAGATCAAGAGTCAGATGCTTAACCGACTGAGCCACCCAGGCGCCCCAAAACCTGGAGTTTTAATAAAGCCTGGAAAAGAGAGAGTTCCAAAAGGGAGGAGGCAACAGTGAGCTGTGTGCTTTGGAAGGCCAAGAGCATGACAAAAGGCCAGTGGATTTTACCACGGGAGACCACTGGGGCCTTTGCACTTCAGCATCTTTGTGAGTGTAGTCCCCATCACAAGTGAGGTAAAAGCCAAACCCCTTACCACAGCTCACACAGGTTTCCACAAAACCTGGCCTCCACCCGCCTCGCCTTGCTCCTCACTCCTCACCAACATGGCTTTCTTGTTCCTTGGACACTCCCAGCATGTGACTTCTTCCTCTGCACTTGCTCTCCTCCTCTCTGTAGCCATCTCTGCCTTGTCCCGCCTTCTTGTGGCTCATGGGCCTTCTCTAGCATGCTGTTCAGATTTATCTTCCACAGAAAGGCCTTCCTTGTATGAAAAGCCACTACCATACCCCTTTGTTATTCTCTATCCCCTTACCATGATTTCTTTTTCTTCAGAACTATATTGATGATTTTCTAGGGCTGCTATCACATTTTACCACAAATTGGGCGGCTTACAACAACAGAAATTTATTCTCTCACAGTTCTGGAGGCCTGAAGTC